TCTTATCTCATCCTACTTAGGATTTCAACTTAGAGATCATTTCTTATTCGGTCTTTCCTAGGCTTCCCACTTAGAGTTCTCATACTCAATCCTAAGAGTCAAACTTCATAAGTCTCCCGCGATTCGTACCGCTCTGATACCAATTTGTAACACCCCACTTTTTTTAACTCTTAATTACAAATCTAAACCACAATTAACATAAATACTAAAAAGATAACTAGTGGGAATGTCACCGCCACAACCACCACACCATGGTGATTGCACAGGCTAGGGGGTAGAACTAGAAATAAAATAAATATCTAACATCCATACTAATTACTGAAAGTCATAAGGGGGAAAAAGACACCCCAAAAGTCTAGGTCATCAAACGTCAACAAAACATCATAAGTCTAACATCCGATAGATAACGACATAAATAAGTCATAAAGAGTTTAGACATCTCAATCTAAAAGACTAGTCTAACTCGATCACTTCTCACTGCTGGGCCCACCTGAAAGGGGTTTTACAAGCAACACATAGACAAATAGGAAAACACCCGTTAGCACGAATCTAAGTGTAACCACACTCAACCATGTAAAGTACTATAGAATATACTTTGGAAAACATTTGATAACATTCGTATGCAACAAACTCAACGCATAGACACCTTTGGTCATATCACATACTTTCTAAATGAGTTAATACCCAAAATCGTCCTCGACTATAGTGGTTTTTCTCAATTTCGTCCTAAACGACTTTGGTGACCTAATACCGTCCCAAACTTTTGTGGTTCGCTCAATTTAGTCCTCAATTTGTTATTCCGTCAAATTGGTGTTAAATTAAGGGACAATTCAGTATGTCAATATTGATCTCTCTTTACTTTCAACTTGTGAAGTGCGAAATTCCTCTTTCTTGTACGAATTACACCCAGAATTACTCCCGGACCTGCAAATCAAATTTTATATTTGCAGTTTTAGGAGTAATTCTGGGAGTAATTCGTAAAAAAAAAAGGGATTTCGCAGTTCACATGTCTATGAGTAAAGAGATGCCAATATTAAAATTACTGAATTGTCTATTTATTTAACACCAAATGGACAGAATAACAAATGAGGGACTAAATTGAGTAAAAACACAAAAGTCTATGACTAAATTGAGCGAAACACAAAAGTCTGGGACGATATTAGGTCACCAAAGTCGTTTAGGACGAAATTGAGAAAAACCACTATAGTCGAAGACGATTTTGGGTATTAACTCCTTTCTAAATTCTTGCAACCTAAAATATCAATAGGCATGTTTTGATACATAAGACATAAAAACTTAGATACTTCAACATGTAAACGTCACCACAAACTTAACAAGCAACTCATGCTTACAAGTAGTATCATGCTAATAAACCATACAACAGGTATTTTCATGCTCTCAAGTTCTCATCACGTAAACTGGATTTACAAGGATTCAATGTAACTAAACAAACATGCTCGACAAACAATCTAAAATCAACATTCTCATTGTGCAATCTCATGCGATACTCTACTCAAATACAATCCCGTGCAATACTATACTCATATGCAATCTCGTGCAATACTATAAACATGCTCATATGCAGTCATGTGCAATACTATACTCGTATGCAATCTTGTGTAAAATTATAAATATGCTCATATGCAATCTCGTGCAATACTATAAATATACTCATATGCAATCATGTGCAATACTATACTCGTATGCAATATCGTGCAATACTATAAATATGCTCATATGCAATCTCGTGCAATACTATAAATATACTCATATGCAATCATGTGCAATACTATACTTGTATGCAATCTCGTGCAATACTATAAATATATACTCATACGCTCATCGTAAATGACTTGCTTTCTTTCTTTCTTTCTTTTTAGAGTCGCAATGACTCACTTCTTTCTTTCTTAGAGTCGCAATGACTCATTCTTTCTCTTTTAGAGTCTCAAGGCTCATACTTTCTCTTTTAGAGTCTCAAGACTCATACTTTCTCTTTAAATGGACGAGGTAGGAACTTCATCATAGTCTGAATGAACTAATCTGGGCACGGCGTCTAGCCGACCTAATTCTCTGCTCGTCCACCGAACCACTCTCTTGGTTCTAAGCTCTAACTCTGTGGAATCAGGTATCGAACTACTAGTGTGCACATCCCCTAACCAGGATTTCAAGCCTGGCGGGCAGTTTCCAACCTCGTAACGTGGGAATACACCACGTTACATATACTGGGACCGCAATGTCCATAAAATCATCCAAGAGGACATAGTCCAAACGGGGTCCTCCAAAACCTCACCGATATATATAATACATAGATATATCTCTCATGCATCAATCTCATGCGTGCAACAACTCTACAACTTCTCAATGCATCAAAGAATGATAAACCACATGCTTATGGCATTTGAAAGTAATACTTGGGCTCACGTTGGCCCCTTATGCATTTTTGAAATATGATATATGTGAGATGCAAAATACTCTACAACATGCTCCAAATCCATGTATATAATCCATAAAATTCTCAAGGATATCATATAATACTCGGTTTGCAACATAGCAAATTCTATACAATTTCTATCAACAAGGTATTCTTCAAAACTCATTAATCAAATATCACATTTTAGTCATGCTTTCATAATATATCATATTCTCAAGTGATCATGCTTCTCTACTCAATACAAAAATAACATCAGACAACAAGGCAAAACATTTCTTCTTCACAATGAACTTCAAATTCTCATACTGTGTATCAAAATCACTATTAAATCCATCATAACATGCTCATTTTTAATCCAAATTCAACGAAATCAAAGCCAAAACGTGCGTTGAGACGATCCCGAGGTACCGGGCCACAAGGGCCAGTGACACCTAGCCCGAAACGACACGTAGCTGAGCCACAAGGGCCCGACCACTGCACAAAAACTCCTCAAATTAATACTCAGGGACCTGGGACAGGACTCCTCATGAGCCGCCCCATGAGTCCCGTTACATGGCCGGGCCTAGGCAACGGCCCTCTCCGAGGGCCGTGCCCTAGGCCCGGTTGGCCCCGGCTCTAGCAGGCGGCCCTCCTGATGGGCCGCGGCTAGGGCTGTTGGTCTGATATACAGTGTGCACCATATGGACATTTCCATCTGCAAAAATTATTCCAAACATGTCCAAAACATCCAAAACATTCTCAACACCTCAAAGAAAAATACTAGATCACTTCCATGCATAAACACAATAAAATCTCATAATATCTACTCATTTCTACTCAATAAAATAGGCTTCACAGAGCCAAAATCAAAGAGGGAGTCCATGGCGTTATACCTCTTGTTGCCTATTCTTCTTGTATGGATCTCTACATCCTCTCTACTCAAACACCACCTCCTTCACCACCTAAACAAGCCAAGACTAAGAAACCTTAGAGATTTGAAGGCTAAGAGAAGAGGAAACCTCAAGATAGGATGGAAAATGAATGGAGGAAAACTTACTGCAATTTTTTCTTCCTTCTATCAGACAAGAGCTTAGGAGAGGCAAGGATGGATATCAAGGAATAGCAAATGGATAGTGTTGTTTATATAGGGTGCAAAACCTTAGGTAAAAAGGCCAATGATTGGTTGAGGGAAAAATGGTAAAAATTTGGCTAGAATATGTTCTCAGGCAATGTCTCTTGGAGTGGTGTGGTTCACCTAGCATTGTGGACCAAGGGCTAGAAATGCTATTTTAAAACACTTTGGGGTTGAAAATGAATTTTCTCAAAAAGTTTTCTAGATGAACACTTGTTTAAAGCTTCTCAGAATTCTCCCGGTCTCACTCAGATTGGTTTCTCAATTTAAAACGTGGTACGCGAAGTAACCGAAAATTTAGGATTTGGTAATAAGAATAAATTGTGGTTTTGAATTAATTTAAAATGGGATCGAAATAATTTATTCAAACACCAATTGATCGCAAAAATTTTTAATGGAGTGAAAATGGCTATTTTGGAATTTCTTAAAATTGTATTTATAAAATAAAATTTTGGGTTGTTACAGTATCATTGACCCCCAAAAAGAGAGCCGAATGATCAGAGCGAGTCAAGATATTTTCCACAGCTGCATTCACCAGGTTACTACACCAACTAGCACTTGTTAAAACCTTATCTAGTCTTTCCTCCATCCAATCCATAGTCCCCCTACCTCTCTCCTAAGTAAATGGATACCCCATTATTGGCAACTAGGCCAAACTGCACTCATCGACAGCATCCCCAAAATCGCGAAGGAGTCCATCTGGATGAGGATTGACACCACGTTTTCATGTTGGAATAAGATCATTGAAATCTCCTACTACAACCTAAGGCAACGTGGATATATTAGCTAGGGTCCTGAGCAGATCCCATGAGTCCCTCCTCCTACTACATTCCAGATATCCATAGCAACCTGTCATACGCCAACATGGGAGACCTGTTAGATTCACCTCAATGTCTACATGGTTCTTCGAAAAACTAAGTAGTCTTGCTGTATTATTCTTTCTCCAAAGCAAATCCAAACCTCCGCTTAAACCTACGTTCTCAACATAAAATAGGTCTACGAAGCCAAACTTGATGCAGAGATGTTCTGCGTGTATCCGCCCCACCTTGGTTTCCATCAAAAAAATAAAGTCGAACTTCTTATGAGACACCAGGTCTACAATCTCTCGAACTGTGCGTGGATTGCCCAAGCCAAAACAGTTCCAACTTAACGTTCTCATGAGGACGGGCGAGCCTGAGAACTAGAACCCGCCGATAACAAGTTTTTTTACCCTGCATCAATCATAACCACATCACCATTGCCGGTCGCAAGACATCTACTACCACCACATGAACCTTCACGACGTCGCTTAGTTGCAGCCACGACACCCCTCTCATTGTCCGCCCCTCCTCCCAGAGACTCCCCGCCCTCCTCACTCCGATGCTCAAGTTTGACGCTGCCAGGACTGTTACCCGGAAGCGGCTGGCCACGCACCGGAATCAACCACGGGTCTCCCACCGCCCTAGGACCCTTAGCAACTCATGCCCGCAAGTCGATCCTGTAAGGGTACTGGTCGACGAGAATCCCAGCCTCCCGTGCTTTCAGACAAAAACGATGTGAGTGCCCCATCAAGCCACAAAAGAAACAAAAGTTATGCAATCTCTCGTACTTGAAGGTTACCCAACAAGTTATCTTATCACGCTTCACAAGCTTCATTCGCCGCTTTATCGGCCGTGCTACAAGGATTGAGACACGAATCTGATAAAACGTTCTCCATGGGGCTCCCGTAAACCTGTCATCACACTTCACAAAGGTGCCTATGAAGTTGCCAATCTGCTCCAAAATCACATCCGACGTATAGCCTAGTGGGAGATCATGCAGCTGCACCCACATGTCAACAAAATTAAGAACCACATCATCGGGTAGAACCCCATCACACACCTGCCTACAGACCAAAGTATTGTTTTCAAACGACCAGGGACCTTCCTCCAATACCCCCTGCATATCCGTCTTATGGTAGAAAACGAACAGGAACAAGTTTGGTTGCAACTCTGAGATCTGAACCCCTTTGACCGGTTGCCAAACAGATGCCATAACCTGACTCATATACTCGACCTTCACAACCTTGCTGGTCAAGAAATGACCAACAACAACCCATGTCTCCTTAACCCCATCCGGAACCAATCCGACATTCTTCCTGACTGGCTCGAAAACAACATCTTCATCCTTTAAGACCATGTCTGCCCAGCATGTCGTGAGACCAGACACAACCCCAACGTCGGAGTTTCCATACTAGACGAGGCAACAATCAAGATAATAGTGAGTACCCAGAGAAACGCTAGAGATCTAAAGAAAATCGGCAAGCAACCAGAGGAAAACTAAGGAAAATGACGGAAACCCTAGCAAAACCTAGGAAGGGAAGCAAAACCTTAGACAAAAGCTAGAGAGAGAAATTTTTTATTACCGAAATTAAAAATTGTAGAAATGTGTTTTTTTACTAGGCATTCTACCCATGTGATCATAATATTTAAATAACTTTAATTTATTTTGGATAAGGTTTTAAAAATAAATTAAAATGATAGAATCAATTAAAAATAAATTAAAATGATAACCCATGGCCACCTAGTTCAGAAAAGACTTTAGGAAAATGTTTTGCCACACCCTTGAAAGTACGTTCAATTGACTCACCCTTCCTCATATCCAGAATTGATATACGTTCTTTAATTTTCTGTCCAATTAAAAAAATAATAATAAAATAAAAATAAAAGTTGAATTCAACAGAATATTCAAGAATGAACAACTCCACAGAATGTGTATGTCCTGTGTCATCACCAACATCTAGTTTAGCTTTCATTCTCTGGAGTTCTTCTCGCTGTTCAATGAAGTTTACATATTGATCAAGTGCTTTCTTGTTCACATGGCTGAACTATTGCAGCTGCTCAGTACACTTGTGCAACAATTTGTACAACTCTTTTACGTTCTTTTGTTTATACCTATAATTTTTAATATGAAAAATTAATAAACTAATATACACCACAAAGAAAAAAAAAACAGATGATAATGGACCTAATTTAGCAAATTTCTAGAGAATATATTCAGAACCCAATTTGTACAACTTATGCATATCAGATGTGAAATTGCAATTTAGCAAATTTCTAGAGAAAATATTCAAAAGTCAAAGAAGAGTACGCTTCAAAGGCATCGGATGATAATGGACCCAATTCTCGAATCGTCTTCGAATACTCATTTTGTTTTGCAAGATAGGTGTTCCTTTTATTTTAGAGTTCCTCCAATTCTCTCTTCTCCTCCTGAAGGGTACCCTAATAATTGTTTTCCATAGCCTACCTCCATAGTAATTTTGTAGACCAATAACAAAACAGTCAAAAACTTAGTAAGCTCAATTTCACCACACCTACCTTCTAGTCGTTTTTTTTTTTTTTTTTTTTTTTTTTTTTTTCCTTTTTGATATGTTTGAGCTTCTTGCTTCTATCATTTATGCTTTCAGAAACTCCTAAAAGGATATATATATATATATATATATATATATATATATATATATATATATATTAATGAGATAGCATGAAAAATTACATAACGTTGAAAAATAAGCAAAATAACTCACTTGTAAGTAGGCCTGATCATCGGTCGGATACGGAAGGATCGGATTTCCAATCCGTCCATCCGACCGGATTTCGGATTTCGTTTTTACCCCCCTATCCGTTTATTTTTTTGGACAGATCTTATCGGATTTCATAGGTTCGGATTTCGGTTATCCGTTGTCGGATTTCAGATGATAATCGGATATAATAAATTAATATAAAAAAAATTCTAAAATAGATAAATAAGTCATAATAGCAATAAATTAAAGGCATACTGAGTTTCATTACCATAGCATAGCAAAACATACAAGCATACAACAATAAAAGTTTCAAACTAAGTTAATAATTACAGATTTTCAATGATTATACAAAAAATCATGCTTAAGACTTAAGTGTTTAACTTGAACAAAATACATTAAGCACTTAAGTTGTTAAGCACTTAAGCAGTAAGTCATAGACTTGAGTCATTCAGTCAGCTGTCAACACCTGTACTCTTTGTCTCATTGGCCATTCACTCTTAAGTTCTTCTTCAGCAATTCAGCAAAATCAGACTATGAATAGTCGGCAAAATCAACACTAATCTAGATAATCTATTCTTCTTCCTGCTAGTATTCAAACTTAAAACGATATTAGTGTTTAGAGTTTAGAAAACAGACAATCAGACATTTAGACTAACAATACTAAGCAATTATTCACTAGGCTAAGTGGCTCAGAGTGCAATTTTCCATATCAAGTAAGAATGTGGGCACATTGCTCTGAATGTGTTATATTAGCACATTGGCAACATACCAACTCCATTCCATTTATTCAGACAAAAGTGGAAGCTTCATCATAGCCACCAAATAAAACAAATACATTCAAACTGAAAACAGAGCAAGGAAGAGTTATACCAGAATTCCAGACTGCAGAGAAATGGGCAAAATTGGGCTCAACTCATCTAATGGCAGCAACAAATCAATAACAGAAAGTTGCCAAGCCACTTAGAGGCTAAACACCACTTGCAACAACATAAGTACATAACAGAATATCAAATTGATTAAAGAAATGAACACATTGTAAACAGATATTAAAAACATTACAGTGGTTGTAGGCAACATTGATGGTATAGTAGATGAAGCTCCAGTGGGCAATTCTGCAAAAGTGAAAAAACAGAATAAGTAAGAAAGAAAGTGAAAAGGAAATAAACTTAATAAAGAATAAAAAAAAGTAACTAAGAAAGTGATAAGTCTTACCTTTCTCTAATCTTTCACCTCCTCCAGGTTCTCCTCAACTTGGATTGGCTGATTAGGTGCCCTCAACCAATCTTGAGTACATATTAGTGCTTCCACTATTTTAGGAGTCAACAAACTCCTAAATGGATCAAGTACTCTTCCAGATGTACTAAAACAGCTCTCAGAAGCAACTGTGGAGATAGGAACTGCAAGCACATCTCTAGCCATTTTGGATAGAATAGGATATCTCTCACTATGGCTCTTCCACCACTTTAACACATCAAAAGCAACAGATTCATCATCCTCCACAAGACTTTCACTTAAGTATACTTGCAGCTCAGTTTGCTTACTGCTTCCACTACTTTCCAATCTCTCTCTTTTTTTTTTTTTTTTTTTTTTTTTTTTTTAAGTTGGCTCTTCAAAGATGACTGAGGCCTACCAACTGTACAAGTAGTAGCCTGGTTAGCCTCAGACTGGACTGCTTGAGTAGAGGATGCAGTCTGGGTAGAACTGAGACTCTGAGAGAGTATGTAACTGCATAGTCATCATATAAAGCAGCCATTGCAGATTGGACCTTGGTAAAACAAGCTTTGCCTTTCTCTTCTCCATACAACTGGGCAAACTGATGAGGCATGTACTCCTCCTTATCTCTGGGGTCCAGAATACTGGCAAAAAAAATGATAGAGTTCATTTTTTCTGGATCCCCCCAATATTTGTCAAACTTGTTCCTCATTTGTGTCCCCATTGCCTAAAACAGAAAAAATAAAGTTATTAGTTTACAGAATTACAGCAATTACAAAAAACAATAAAGCAAACAAATTAAAAGATAAATGAGAATACCTTTTCAGTCCCATGATTAGAGTTCACCATAGCTTCAAGCATGCAACTGAGATCAGAGATCTCAGAGAAGAATGTGTTGGATGTGACATAAAGTGAACCAGAGATCCTCACTGTCATATCATAAAATGCTTTCAACATCTTCACTAAGCTTTCCACAGAACACCAATCCAAGAAGGTAGGAGCACTCCCCAAGTCAGCAGAATAAGAGGGGTGGGTCATTTCTCTCATATGCATCAAACACTACTTGATATTGAACTGCAGTGTTGAGCATAATGTAGGTGCTGTTCCACCTTGTAGGGACATCAAGATGCAAAGCTGATTTAGCTTCCACACCAAACAGTTCAGCAAACTCTCTGAACTTTGTCAGCCTAGCTGGTGAGTTCCTAACCCATCCCACTGCATCCCTCACCCTCTTGACTGACTCATCTGCAAACTTCAACCCATCTTGGACCACTAAATTGAGGATATGGGCTATGCACCTCATGTGCATGTACTGAACCTTAACAGAAGAAGAACCCCAAGATAACAGTTTACTCTTAAAAAACCCCATAGTTGTGTCATTAGAGGAAGCATTATCCACTGTTACAGTAAACACATTCTTAATTCCCCACTCTAATAAACAACTCTCTAGGGCTTTTGCAATGTACTCCCCCTTATGAGAAGAAACTGGGACAAAGGATATAATTTTTTTATGAAGCTTCCACTGGTCATCTAAAAAATGTGTAGTAATGCACATATAATTGATTCTCTAGACAGAAGTCCATGTATCAGTTGTTAGACTAACCCTTTGAGTTCCCACTCTAAACAACTTCCTAAGGTTTAGCCTCTCATCAAGAAAAATTTGGTAGATGTCCTTAGAAATGGTCTACCTAGAAGGGATAAGAAACCTAGGACAAGCAACCAGAATAAACCTCTTGAACCCCTGGCCCTCTACAAACCTAAAAGGGAGCTCATCTATGATTATCATCTCACAAAGGGCCCTCCTAATGGCATCTTGATTAAATACCCATGTCCCCAAAACACCCCCAGGAGCCTCTGTTCCACCCTCAGAAGTGGACAGAGTGTTGAATATGAGTAGAGACTGCCTTGTATCCTTTGAATGGGGATTTTTAAGACAACTGGCCATATGATTTCTTAATGATGATGTGCCATGTTTTTTAGTTTCACAAAAATACTCTTTTGCAAAGTAAAGGCATTTGCCTTTAATCACTTTTTTTAGTTTCAGGATCTTTGATCTTTTCAAAGTGCTCCCACACTATGGATCTAGACTCTAATTCCTTCATCTTCTTAACCGCAGGAACTTTAGGAGTGGCCATAGGCTGTTGAGCACTTGTCTCAATGCCTGGGGTTTTTACTCCTTGTTCTTCCACTGTTGAAGATGGAAGAGGTCCAGTTCCACTTCCACTTAATTATATTTTGATTGCTCTCCATCTATAAAGATTTCTGGATGAGCAAATTGGATTCACATTTCACACAAGCACACATAACTGACATAAGGCCATACACTGTCACAGTGATATGTATTCCATAATCAGGATTCATGATTCATGAACTCATCATTTTATGGAAATGGCCACAAATTAGGGCTTAACAGTAAACACTCAGTAGTCAGTACTGAGTACTGACATACATAATTACATATAACACATTAACAAATTCATTCCATAATAAGGAGTCATGAATCATGAATCATGAACTCATCATTTTATGGAAATGCCCACAAATTAGGCCTTAACACTTCCACAGTCAACCATCAACCCATCAACAATTCAAGTATTCAACAACATTCAACAACATTCATTCCAATTTCCAAATTCCAACAGTCAACTATTAGCATTCAACATGGACATCATAAATTCATAATATCAATTACAATTTCAGTAGGCTTCCACAGTTCCACACTTCCACCACCACCATACATTTTGAAATAACAAATTTAAGGGTCCTTTACCCATAAACTTACAAACACATATCAGAATAAGCACAAATTCATCACGTATGTGGAAAGCCCTAACAATTAGGGTTCAGTTACAAATTAGGGTGCATGCAACATCATAGAACTAGAACAGAACAGACAAACTCACAAACATGCAACGGGAAAATAAGAAAAAAATGACAGAGTTACATTTTACTTGTTTTCTCAAAGGTTTCCTATGAGATCTAGGGCTTCAAGGCGTCAAACTTCCACTACCGTCCGGCTTCTTCCTTCTTTCCGTCTTTCCAGTTTGCACAGAGCCACAGACACTTCCACAAGATTCCCGTCGAACTGTCAATTGTCGAAGACTCGAAGCCTCGAAGGAGTCGAAGGGGAGTTCAGACTCTCAGACTTCATAGACTCTTAGACTCAGAGTTCAGAGAATTAGAGATTCACCGGAGAAGGAGATTATGGAAGAAAATTAGATGAGAAGGACTGAAGGAGTGAAGGACTGAAGATCGGATGGGGATGGCTAGATGAGACTAAGGAGAATTCGAGAAGAAGCTCTGGGGAGTGGCCGAGTGGAGAGTCTCAGAGAATGGAAATGGCAAACCCTAGGTCTGCACAACATTTTATACTTAGGCCATAGTTCGGATCTCGGACGGGTTCGGATGGGATATTTCCTAACCCTACCCGTCCGTCTTTTATAGCCACGCATGCGTAGGGCCGGTTCGGATATTATCCGAACCCGTCGGATTTCATCACCGTTCGGTGAACACTAGTTCGGATCGGACGGGTAATTCGGGTAGTTCGGGTATTGCACAGCCCTACTTGTAAGCTGTTGGGTCAAGTTTTCAACTAATATATGGGCCTCCACTACTTCCTGCCCCTTTAATACATGAGCTGTTATAATTGTAGTTGCATATGCTCCAGTGGTTCTTTCATCAGCTTAAAGATGAAACAAACATAAAGTAATTAAAAGTAAAATTGTATGGTCTATGAAAACAGAAGTTCACAGATCAAGTTTCTTAACCTCCCAATATGGATGATTGCATGCTAAAGAGCCATAGTAAAAGTGATTCGGGTTACAAAATAAACATTCCAACACTTTGGAACTACTTTGCGTCCTGCATAAGGCTTTAGATAAGAGTATATGAAAATATGCTTCTTGTATAGCAAATGAGTCCACCCTCTATGTCTAAACCTTTAAGTAAAATCCCATGTTCCATGAAGAAAGTGAAAATAAGAACTTTTTACACTACAAGAAAAATGCACATAGACAACGGTTAATAACCGTTGTCGTAGGGGTATAATTTCTGTTGTTGAAGCCGGTGTTGTTGTAAGTCCCGCGCATAGACAACGGTTAAAAACCGTTGTCTTTTCTAGAAACAACAACGGTTTTTTAACCGTTGTCTATTAAGTGTTGTCGAAGCCGGTGTTGTTGTAAGTCACGCACATAGACAACGGTTAATAACCGTTGTCTTTTCTAGAAACAACAACGATTTTTTAACCGTTGTCTATTAAGTGTTGTTGAAACCGGTGTTGTTAAAAATCACGCACATAGACAACGGTTTTAAACCGTTGTCTTTTCTAGAAACGACAACGGTTTTTTAACCGTTGTCTATTAAGTGTTGTTGAAACCGGTGTTGTTAAAAGTCACTCACATAGACAACGGTTTTAAACCGTTGTCTTTTCTCGAAATGACAACGGTTTTGTAACCGTTGTCTATTGTGTGTTATTGAAACCGCTGTTGTTAAAAGTCACGCCCATAAACTGTTGTCTATTGTAAAATAGACAACGGTTTTTAACCGTAGTCTCAACGGCAACGGTTTTTAACCGTTTTTAACCTACTTAAATTTTAATCATATAAAAAATCAATTTATCCATTCACCATCGCCAAGTGTAGTTACATAATTTTGCACAAGCTAAGGTTCAAAATACAAAAGAACTAATTAACAAGTCTAAATACTTCCATGACCAATTCAAATCGAATCATCGTCCAAGTCATATACTACAAAAAACAATTCCACGAACCAAGTCTAAATGATCACAACGTTCTAATGATCAAATCATACCTACTCTATATAACTTGATAGAATATCGGCCCATTCAGAACGCACCAGATCAATAACCGCTTTGTCATAATCAAGTTGTTGGAACTACATGTAAAAAGTTAGTAAATAAATTAGTACGTAGTCAACATAACATTATAAAAGATAGCTAGATAGATAGATAGTGAGACTACAAAAATAAGCCAAAACTACTGGCATAATGCAGTAGTATATGCAGTGGTCATTCATTATCCTTTTGCATTTGCTTGGATTTGGACAGCTCTAATATATGCCCAACAGGTACAGCTTGGATTTGGACAGCTCTACTAGTGTTCATCATATGCAATGGTATGTTGTTAGGCAGTTAGGCTAGGTCTCATGGCAATAAACCGAGCTGAGCCACATTTTTAATTGTTGGGTCTATATTCATTAGTAATTTATGAGAACATTTAATTTAATTGTAGGCACAATCCATGTAGCCTACGAAAAGAATTCCCACTTTTTCATATACAAATTTGTGCATGGACTAAATTTAAACTTATACATTTTGAGTGCCTGCAAAAAGGAGTGAAAAAATGGTCCCATATACATTCTGGACATCATTTTAGTAATCACAACTTAGGCACCATCAGTCTGTTATCACACACCTCATTAACCATTTTTCATGTTTCACCATTTTTCATTTTTCAAGACTTGCAAGGATAGAACTCTGAAGGGCAGGATGTGCAATCCTTCCAAAAATAGCAATAAGTGTTTTAGACAAGATTCTCATCAAATATGGAACGCACAGAGGCAGTATAGTAGGGTAGTCCCACTGATCAAAATGAAGAACAGAACAAGATATTTCTTCATGACACTCTAAATTAAGTATGTTGATCAAAGTCACAAAAAGAAACAACTAAGTTGCATATAGTTTTGGCATCATAAAAAGATCAGTGGCATAGTATTTACCTGAGCCGCTTCATTGGCTGCATTTTTGGTCCACAAAGAAAGTTTGTCCTGTCTCTGACGCACACTGGCAACCACTCCACATATCTCCTCTGCTTCATCAAATTGCTCTCCAATCAAAGCCATCAGCTATACAATAAAAACAATAGAATAGTAAAACATTAATGTGTATAATATTAAAATTTAAAGAATAAAATTTTTCCACCAAGGATATATTACAGTTTCAAGCCACATGGTGTCAAGAATTGCCTTCTTGCTGCTGCTGACAGTCCACTTGCCTCCATTGGCAAACTCAGGATCTTCCCATTTTGGCTCAATCCCAACTTTAAACAAATGAAAAATAAATTCATATCGCTTAAAAATATTTAAGTAACAAGACAAATAATATATATATTCAGGTCACAGAAATTGGTTCTTTCTTGGTTATTCAAGCATGAATATTTGCACACAATTTTGGTTCAATGCAGTGAAGTAACCTGTCAAATACTAAATTGCTTAACCTGTCACAATTTTGGTTTGCACACAGTTTTATTAGGGGAAAAAATCCAAAGAAACTTAACAAACAGACCTATGAACTTCTAATCAAGAATTTTCTTAACCTGTCAGAAGAATCACACAAGTGGGTCATACTTAATAGCATAAAGTAAACTAAAAGATCAACAACAATGAGTATTTATCAAGATTATAAAATGATGAAGCTTAAGGGTCCATGAAAGAAGCTAGGGTTTGAAGTCTTATCCACAAATATTATCAGAAATCTGAAAGGGAAGCTCCAAATTTCTTCTTTTCTTGAATCCTGAGGCTCCTAGTTGGACCACAAGTTTCTAGGTAATATAAGAAACAAATTCTCTCAATTAAGTGCTTTCTTGTTCACATACAATGTCTACACCTAGATGGAAAAACAAAATTCACTTCATAGCTTAGATTGATACTGCAGTTGCGATTATAGAGTGGTTCATCAAGCATACACAGAGATTGAATACAAATAAACAACTCGAATACAATGCCATAACAGCTTGATTAATAATCTGCCACTGGACCAATGTGCATAAAGCCTACTGAACCAAATATGATTTTACACAAATCAAATTTACTTCAAAGACACAAAACAAAAAGCTAATAAGCAGAGTCATTACTTTAAAACAAATCAAAATTAAGAAAAGATAACATCTTGCTAAACTTCACAGATTTTAGGCAAAACAGAATCTATAACCACCCATAAGTGACTACAAACTTAAATCTGATGCAGTATGCCTGGTAATCATTATGCAAAGCATTGTCAACTCATTATTTTATTCAGCTGCTCAGTTGCATATTTGTTTGCCTCAATTTTTGAAATCCATCAAATTCAAAGTGGCAAAATAAAAACCTGCCATAAAAAAGAGGAATTTGCACGTGTAATTGAAATATCATGCCTTAGTAGTAATAGTTTGATCGACGTGATGTTGTGACTCGTTAATAAATTGTTGCCAAAAAGATTTGCACTAGAGAGGTGTTATCAACGTTTTTTATGCTGGAACCTGAAAGGGGAGCATAGGAAAAGCAAGTGAATTTTTTAAAAATGCATTACAACAATCAACCAAGATGCAGATGGTGATGGGCCTTGACAATGAATAAGAAAATATTGATGTTCTAAGACACTTCAAATATTTCAAATTGTAAAATCATTAGCAACTCTAGGAACCTGTGGGGTTAGAATGAAATAAAGTCAGGAAATATCTAGAAGAGGGGAAGAAAGGGGGAGCACAGGAAAAACAAGTGAAATTTTGAGAAAGCACAACAATGCATGGGAAAACATTGATGTTCAATTGTTAACAGCGACAACATTCCAATTTGTAAAATATAAAAAAGGGACACTTTCTTAAGTGCACCACTGAAATGGGTGATCAGACATGAAACATCATAATGTTCAATTAATCATAGCCATACAGATGAACGTGCTCTTTTGGTAATTGCTTTGATGTCTTCCTTCCCTGTCCAACATCGGGGCATTGAATCGGAATCACGGCAAAATAATGTAGAAAACCTATCAACAATTTTGGAACACTTCTCAATATGTTCACACATTTATAGTTCCAAACTTCAAATAAGAACACACTCAAACTATAAAACGAATTCATGTTTCCCCTAAAAATACTAACCATTGTATCTGATAAACACACAGCTAACATTATAGAAAAAATTCTGTTGCATATATAAAGAGGACTACAAGTTTTCAGGCATAAGAAACAATTGTGATAAACACACAGAAATTTTTGCAAATCTGTTGCAAACACACCGGACTACAATCTGTTGCGTTCTCAGAAATTTTTCACATCGTCAAACCCCAATTCCCCAACCCTAGCTTCAATCCAAAATTGTTTAGCATAAACACACGCATTGATAATATCAAATAATATTTGGATGAATTTCACAGCTTATTACGTTACAAGAGAAAAACTAACCTTCAATTTTTCACACAAGTTTACTGAGTTCTTCACGGCGGCGGCGGCGGTAGAGGAGGGAGGCGGCAATGGCGGTAGAGGTTGTAGGCAGCGACGACGTCGGAGGTTGGAGGCGGCGTGAGAACTGGGAATGACGGTGTTAGTCGGTGTTACTGTCCAAGGAGAAAATTTGCAATGGAGAGAAATTTTGAACGATGGTCGAATTTTGTTGAAAGGAAATTTTGCAAAGAGGGAATAATTCGCGCTAAGTTAAAACTTGTAAAGAGGGAAAGAATTGAAGAAATTATTTTTATTTTACAAAGAGGAAAATAACATAACATATATTATATATTATATACTCCGGTACTATGTACTAATATACTTTAAGGAAAATAACGAAATTTTATTTTAATTTTATAATAAACTTTCATTTTTTTCAAATTAAATAAGTACATTCATGGTTTTATAGGGATGGGGTCCACCATAAACCGAGTATATAGGTATAGAACGGGGGTAAGAAAATATTAGTTTTATTACCCGGGATGCAGACCCAAAATAGTACCGAGTATATAGGTACAGAACTAGGGGTGTGCAAACTTCGGATAATTTTCGGTTAACCAACCGAACCGACAAAGTTCGGTTAACCGTTTTCGAACCGAACTTTTTCGGTTCGGTTAATGGTTAAAGGAATTTTAAAACTTCGGTTAACGGTTAATTCGGTTCGAAAGGTCGGTTAACCGAATTAACCGAACGATTAACCGAAGTTTTTAATATATATATAAATAATAATATAAATATAAATATTAATTTGAAGTTATGGGTGTTTGGAGTTTATAATTCATGTTTTTTATATTTTGTTATGAATTTATTATGATATGTATTTTATTTTAATTGGATTTATTATTTTAGGTGTTATTTTTAGAATTTTAAATTTTAACTTTTAAAAGTTCGGTTAATCGGTTAACCGACCGATTAACCGAAAAAAATTTCGGTTCGGTGAATTCGGTAGAGCAAACTTCGGTTCGGTTAACGATTAAAGGAAAAAAAACTTCGGTTAATTCGGTTCGGTTAAAACGGTTCGGTTAACCGAACAATTAACCGATTGAACACCCCTATACAGAACGCGAGATTTATAAATTTCTATGCTGTAGATTCTTAATTTCTATACTGTAAATTCATAAAATCTTTACTCTTGATTCATAGTTTCTAAACCGTAGATTCATAATTTAAATACAATAGATTCATAATTTAAATACAGTAGATTCATAATTTCTATACAGTAGATTCATAATTTCTATACTGCAGATTCATAATTTCTATATTGTTGATTCATAATTTCTAAACTGTATAGTTATCAAATTATGAACATATAGTTATGTGATTTGTGAATACAGAGTTCAACAATTAGGAATATGAACATCGAAAATTATGAACATAGAGTTCTGTAATTGTGAATATAGAGTTCAATCATTATGAATATGAATTTCAAAAATTATGAATATAGAGTTCGGTAATTGTGAATATAGAGTTCAATCATTATGAATATGAATTTCAAAAATTATGAATATATGGTGCACACGGTTGTACAGCATAATTTGCCCTTTATTACCCTGATGTTTATTACCCAGACAGTTGGCGGCCCAATTATTACAAAGATCGCGGCGAACGAAATGGGCTATAGCTAACTGTACGAAATCAAGTACTCTTTCATATCCATTCTCCATGTGTCCCATGCATGCCGGAAGGGTCGATTACTAACATATAGCTAACCTTGTTAGTCATGCGCTAGCCTGAAGGGTCGATTACTAACATCGGCCCCTATCATACCGCCCTTACCCGACCACACCATACCGCACCATTCTGAACACCACACCGCACCGCGCAGGGTCGTTCTAGGCCATGTCGGACCGGCGCGACCGCACAGGGCCCCCAATTGTTGGGGGCCCAATTTTTTAAAACAAATATTATAGATATAATCTATTATTTTTTTATACTTGATAATTTTTTTATTTTTTTTTGAATTCATAGATTGGTCTTAATTGTAATTGAAAATAAAACTTGAATGAATTGACATTGAAATTTTGGTGAATAATTTTATATTTAAATATGAACAAAAATAGAATTATTAAATTAACTTTTGAATTCTATTCTTTCTTTGATAATTTTTTATGCATTATATTTGGACAAAAAAATTTAATTACATTTTTATTCTTGTTAACAACCTTAGGAGAATACTTTAGTACACAGAACGTGAGGTTGTTAATCGCCGGCCGCTCATGACGGTGGTCAAAGCTGTCGGCCCAAAATTATAGGTAAAATATAAGGTGTAACACTTTAAGACACAGGAGTTGGTGTGGCTTGGTGGATTTAGCTTTGTTTGTTATGTTAAAGGTCTTGGGTTCTATCTTTAGTGGTGGCATCCTTAACTTATTTTATATAATCATTGTGTTCTTAATGTTGTGCTGGTAAGGTCTCGGGTTTTATTCTTCTTGGGGGGAATTTTTCAACTATTTTTTAAAATTGTTGTCTTGGTTTTCACAAACAACATAGAAGCAACTCAGTTATATACCAGATGTTGCACTTTCAAACAAAAGAGTTTGTGTTGCTTAGTTGGTTAGACCTTATTTGTTAAGTTTGAGGTCATAGGTTCAACTCTTGTTGTTAACATCTTTATTTTTATTTTATACAATTGGTAAATAATGATGCGCAAAGACAACGGTTTTTTATAACCGTTGTCTTTGTAGTGTTGTGTATTCAAATACGCTTAAAGACAACATACCAAAGACAACGGTTAAATAAAACCGTTGTCTTAAACAAATAAAGAACGCGCAACGACAACGGTTATATAAAACCGTTGTCGTTCTAGTGTTGTGTATTCGAGTGCGCTTAACGACAACACACCAACGACAACGGTTAAATAAAACCGTTGTCTTTTTTAAATAAAAGAGCGCACAAAGACAACGGTTTTAAACAACCGTTGTCTTTCTAGTGTTGCGTATTTCAGTACGCTTAAAGACAACACAACAATGACAACAGTTAAAAAAACCGTTGTCTTCTTTAAAAAAAAAACGCACATAGACAACGGTTTTAAAAAACCGTTGTCGTTGTGGTGTTGTCTTTTCACAAAATGCACAAAGACAACACACTTATAACAACGGTTAAGTAAAAACCGTTGTCTTTGACAAAAGTGTTGCATCAAAGACAACGGTTTTGGACCAAACTGTTGTCTTTTATACAAAAGACAACACTTTTCTTAAAAACTGTTGTCTTTCTAGTGTTGTCTATGTGCATTTTTCTTGTAGTGTTACAGAACTTGAATCTAAAACACCTTTGGAACTAGTGGTTTTCTTGATATAGTTCAAAAACATTTCTTCATAAATAAAGCTATTTTGCAAAATTTGAATCTAAATCCATCTCTCATCCATCATTAATTGATCTATCATGCAATTACTAACTGCTAGTTTAGGTTATTTCAGTAATTCAGTAGAAAAGAAATACATACTCATTTGACTAGGCCAAGATGAAACATACACGGTAAATTATTACATTTAATCATTAAATATAAGAAAATCTAGCAGTAAATTTAAGTTTTTGAAAATAACTTACCTTGAGTTCCCAATAAGTATGTCTTCGGCGGTAGCGGGAGGTGGTAGACTGGCGATTGATTTGTTACGTCGGCAGGAAGAGGGAGCGGGAGGTGGCATCTGACCTTCTACGTCGTCGGCAGCAGTGAGAGGTGGCGGAGATAGGAGTTAAGGTTTTCTTACTTTAACAATTAATTTATAAAATTTTAGTACAACATTTAGAGGCGGTTGTTATAATTGTCAGAAATACTCATTTAGCAGCGATATAACCGCCGTTAAGTGTATGTCGCTAAAAAAACAGTTTTTTGTAGTGTGCGAAAAAAGTAAATGCATAATGAGATTGCATGTATTGTTTTAAACTATAATATATATTAAAGCTAACCAACATGGTTGGCATGGTGGTTCATCGATCCCCACCCATGTGAGTAAAAGCACGAAAAATATAAATGATTGGCCAGTCCCCTACCACTCAGAACATTTTTTGAAAGCAAATAAAAACACGAAAAATATATCAACGAAATAAAGACAAGTGACCTCGGGTGAAATTAACTGAAACATAATATTATGAAAAGTTGAATTAAAATAACTCCAATTAAGTCTCGGTAGCAGACAAATTAAACAAAATAGGAAGGATGGAATATTTAATAAGAAAATTTAAATATTAAACGTCTTCATAAGAGTCGACCGGGGAAGAGAGGACATTTTGTAGCGACAGTAAGCGAGGAGGGGAATGGCGGCGCCCAAGGCCAAAACGGAGATAGCGAGAGGAAGTGAAGGCTCTAAAGTGGCATACATCCCACACAGGAATGCGATTCCCACTCCTAGGGATGCCCAGACCATAACTTCGTTAGCCAAAAAGGATAGCTTTAAAATTCTGTACATGTCGCGATATGGGGTTGCAACAGCGTCCACCAAGGAACCGTTATTGAATACAGCCAACATAGAGCATATGAAAGCAACAACATCGGAAACAACAAAAGCCTTAAACGCTGCATTCCTTATTAATATTGCCTTCCCTGCTTCTTCAGAATCGACGTTGCTGTTGTATCCTCCTGGGACAGTAAACCCCGCTGCAAAGGTTATGGTTGCTATCAACGTAGCTACAATGATGTTTGTCTCACTGCTTCGTACCAGATTATCGACCATATCATTAATATCAACGTCTTTCTTAGTAGTACTGATTTTCTTTCTCCAAGTTTTGGTGAGATCAATACGTTGACCATAACGTCCATAAACTCGGTAGTAGTGTTCCTGCATTAATTAATTACGGAGTAATTAATGATTTCATTTTCATTCTTAGAGTTAGTTATTTTTTCTTTAATTTGGCACAATTAATTTAATAAGAGCAAATATCAATTTCGGTCCCACAAGTATTAACAAAATGACAGTTTTAGTTTATATGTTTAATTTCTACTAATTTTCATTTACGACTATATATTATTTTAGTACCAATTTTCATCAATGATTATTGTTTTAGTGCCAAAATTCATCAAGCTGGTCACCCTTACGTTTAAGACATGCCGAAATATGAAATTATTAATGGTATTCTTTTTCTTTTCAAATTAAGATCCCAATTTAAGCATAAATAAATGGATTTAAGCCCTAAGATCGATCTCAATTCACAGTTCTCTTCTTCAAATTAAGGTATGATGCGAATGAGAATTGCAAGAATTGCGAATTGGGATCGATCTTAGAGCTTAAAATTCTTTTATTCATACTCAACTTGGGATCTTAATTTGAAATTAACGAAAACACCGTTAAAAATTCTAGATTTCAGCATGCCTTAAACAGAGGGATAATCATCATGATGAATTTTGATACTAAAATAATAGTTGTGGATGAAAATTGATAATAAAACAATAGTTGTAGATGAAAATTGGTATCAATTAAACATGTGGACCAAAATTGTCATTTTGTTAATACTCGTAGGACTAAAATTGATATTTGCTCAATTTAATATTGCAAATACCAATTTTGGTCCCACAAGTATTAACAAAATGATAATTTTGGTCCACATGTTTAATTCCTACCAATTTTTATCCACAACTATTGTTTTACTACTAATTTTTATCCACGATTATTGTTTTAGTGTCAAAATTCATCACGCCGGTGACCCATTCGTTTAAGACATGCCAAAATATAAAATTATGAAGGGTATTTTCGTCATTTTCAAATTAAGATCTCGAATTGAGCATCAATAAAAGAATTTAAACCCTAAGATCGATCTTTACAGTTTTCCTCCTCAAATTAAGGAAGGATGAGGAGGAAAATTGAGAATTGGGATCAATTTTATATCTTCAATCTCTTTATTTAGGCCCAAATTAGAATTTTAAGTTGAAAATGATGAAAATACCCTTAAAATTTTTAAATTTCAGCATCTCTACCTTAAACAAAGAAGTGACCGACATGATGAATTTTGGCACTAAAACAATAATCATGGATGAAAATTGGTACTAAAATATAGTCATGGATGAAAATTGGTAAGAATTAGACATGTGGATGAAAACTGTCATTTTGTTAATACTCATGGGACCAAAATTGGTATTTGCTCATAAATTAAGGGAATAAGGTTCAAATTGGCCACTGAACGTAACCTGAAAATGCAATTAGGCCACTGAACGAAAAAAAAAAAAAGTGCAATTAGGTCATTGAACACTCAAAAAATGTGCAATTATGCCACTGAACTCTCCAAACGTATGCAATTTTACCGGATAGCAAGTTACCATCAATTTTAGCAGGTTACCTGCTTACGTGGCAGCTTAGTTGGCATTTTTAATAATTTTTAAATAATTTTTAATAATTAATTTTAATAATTAATTTTATTAAAAAATTGGAAAAAATTAAATAAAAAATAAAATAAAGTCGTTTTTATTTTTTTTAAAAAAAAATTAATAAAAATTTATTATTAAAATTTATTAAAAATGCCAACTCAGCTGCCACGTAAGCAGATAACCTGCTAAAATTGATGGTAACCTGCTATCAGGTGAAATTGCACATTTTTTGAGTGTTCAGTGGCCTAATTGCACTTTTTTTTCGTTCAGTGGCCTAATTGCACTTTCAGGTTACGTTCAGTGGCCAATTTGAACCTTATTCCTAAATTAAGACATATGTATTATGAGCAAATACCAATTTTGGTCCCACGAGTATTAGCAAAATGACAGTTTTGATCCACATGTTTAATTCCTATCAATTTACATCCACGACTAGTATTTTAGTACCAATTTTTATCCACGACTAACTTTTTAGTGTCAAAATTCATCACACCGGTCACCGATCCGTTTCAAATATGTCGAAATATGAAATTATTAAGGGTATTTTTGTCTTTTCCAAATTAAGATCCCAATTTGAACATGAATAAAGGAATTTAAGCTGTATGATCGATCTCAATTCACAGTTCTTCTCCTCAAGTTTAGGTAGGATGAGGAGGATAACTGCGAATTGGGATCGACCTTAGGGCTTAAATCTTATTATCCATGCTCAAATTGGAATCTTAAGTTGAAAAGGACGAAAATACCCTTAAAATTTTTAGATTTCGGCATGTCTTTAACGAATGAGTGACCAGTGTGATAAATTTTGGCACTAAAACAACAATAGTCCTGGACAAATATTGACACTAAAACAATAGTCGTGGATGAAAATTAATAATAATTAAACATGTGGACCAAAACTGTCATTTTGTTAATATTCATGGGACTAAAATTGATATTTGCTATATGTATTATCAAGGGCGGGTGTACGTACTTACATCATTGGGATCATTGCGACAATTGAAGGGATTTCCATGATGTTCCATGTATATGTCTGATGGATTTTGGTGTCGCTTATTAAAGACCAATTGCTTCTTATTATCCTTACGAGCAGATTATGCACAAATTCTTCCGGCCAGTAGTCTTCATAAATGGGAAGCAGGTGTATTGGTGTGTTGCCATCCTCGTCTACCTCAGAAGCAAGGTTGTCAAGTTGGTTACACTTTTTTATGTATTTAAACACTTTCATTTCACCACTCTGGATTGCCTCATGAAGGACGTTTTGCCCTTTACTATTCACCCTTTCCCAACAATCTGGGCAGCGATCTGATATGCATTTCATAATTCCAACGCGATCCTCCCTCGCTGCTATATGAAATACAGTTGTCCAATCATCATCCCCTCTGCCTGTGCGAACAAATCTTTGACAAATATCCTCATAATGAAGTTTATCAAATTGCGTCTTTCCATTGTCAAGGGAACGCGGAAACACATCATCCAACTCAGGGACATTGCGGCTCAATTAAAGAAGTTGAAAATTATTCTTCCAGATACCTTTGTGGTGCACTTTGCACTAAATACCCTATCTCAGGAATATAGCGCGTTTAAAATTTCCTATATAATACACATAAGAAAGAATGTTCTATCAATGAATTGTTTACCATGTGTACTCAAGAGGAAACACGGCTTATGACTGAGCTTGGGGAAAATGCTTTAATGACCACAACAAGGCCTAAGAGAAAGTCTAGAAAGCCTAAGGGACTTACCATGGCTACTAAGGGAAAACTAACCCCTAAAGCAGACATTAAGAAGATACAAAAGTGTTTCTTTTGCAAAAAGAAGGGACACATGAAGAAAGATTGTATCAAATTTCAGAAATGGATGTCCCAAAAAGGTAACATTTCCTCTTCCTTTGTTTGTTTCGAATCTAATATGTCAGAAGTTAATACTAATTCATGGTGGGTTGACACTGGTTCAACAATCCACATTGCAAACTCTTTGCAGGATATGACAAAACAGAGACAGCCGATGGAAACTGAGTGTAGCATCTTCTCTGGAAATAAGATTGCATCACCAGTAGAAGCTGTCGGAGTTTGCAATTTAGTTTTGGACAATGGTTTTGTATTGACATTAGAAAAGTCATTTTATGTTCCTAGTTTTTCTAGGAACTTAGTTTCAGTATCTAGACTTGTACCCTTCGGATATTCTTTTGAATTTAATACCAATAATATCAAGTTATTTCGTTATTCTACTTGTGTTGGTACTGGTACATTGTCTGATAGTCTTTTTCGTCTAAACTTAAAGAATAATTCAATTTATAATTCTTTACATGTTCAAAACGGCACTAAACGGTGCAGTATTAACGACAATTCCTCAATGTTGTGGCATCGGAGATTAGGTCATATCTCCCTTAAGCGTATTAAAAGGTTAGTAAAGGATGTAGTACTTTCTACTCTAGACTATACGCTCAAGGGAGATATGACCTAATCTCCGATGCCACAACATTGAGGAATTATCGTTAATACTGCACCGTTTGGTGCCGTTTTGAACATGTAAAGAATTGTAAACTGAATCATTCTTTAAGTTAAGACGGAAAAGACGATCAAACAATGTACCAGTACCAATACAAGTTGAATTACGAAATAACTTGAAATCATTGGCATTAAATTCAAAAGAATATCCGAAGGGTACAAGTCTAGATACTGAAACTAAGTTCCTAGAAAACTAGGAACATAAAATGTCTTTTCTAACGTCAATACAAAACCATTGTCCAAAACTAAATTTCAAACTCCGATAGCTTCTACTGGTGATACAATCTTGTTTCCAGAGAAGATGCTACACTCAGTTCCCATCGGTTGTCTCAGTTTTGTATCCTACAAAGAGTTTGCAATGTGGATTGTTGAACCAGAGTCAACCCACCAGGAATTAGTATTAACTTCTGACATATTAGATTCGAAACAAACAAAAGAAGAGAAGATTTTACCTTTTTGGGACATCCATTTCTTAAACTTGATACAATATTTCTTCATGTGTCCTTTCTTTTTACAAAAGAAACACTTTTGTATCTTCTTAATGTCTGCTTTAGGGGTTAGTTTCCCCTTAGCAGCCATGGTAAGTCCCTTAGGCTTTCCGGACTTTCTCTTAGGCCTTGTTGTGGCTATTAAAGCACTTTCCCCAAGCTCAGTCATAAGCCGTGTTTCCTTTTGAGTACACATGGTAATCAATTCATTGATAGATCATTCTTCCTTATGTGTATTGTAGGAAATCTAAAATGCGTTATATTCTTAAGATAGGGTATTTAGTGCAAAATACACAACAAAGGCATCTAGAAGAATAATTTTCAACTTCTTTAATTGAGTTGCAATGTCCCTGAGTTGCATGATATGTTTCCGCGTTCCATTGACAGTGGGAAGGCATATATTGATAAACTTCATTATCAGAGTACTTGCCAAAGATTTGTTCGCGTCAGCAAATTGCTCATCGATGGCCTCAAGTAATGTCTTAATTTCCTCAATTTCATCGACGGGACCACGAATCTCTTTGGCAATTTTTGACTTAATAAGGAATACGCCTAAGCGATTTGCTGTTGCCCATCGCTCGTATAGCATTTTTTGTTCCTTAGTGCTTTCCGCAGTAAGCTCAGAAGGCTTCTCATTGCGGATAGCATAATCAAACCCTAATATTCCAAAATTCTATAGAACAACGTCTTTCCACTCTTTGTGATTATCATCATTAAGGATAGGAATATCAATAGTTATTGATTGAGTGATTGTAAGAGTGATTGTAAAAAGAAAATTGAAAGCTTGGTTAGAATTTTTTCGAGGCACAAAATTAGAGAGAGATACTGTAGTACATAATATTACCAATGTAAAAGTATGCAAAAGATAAGTTCGGATGCCATAAAAATTACATGTGGGCTAAATTTTTACGCATAATGAATCTACCAAAACTGAATGATAGAAACAGAATGGATGAGATTTTAGTTTTTCCACCCTTAATGACAAAACTACCAAACTATATGCCGATACATAATCCCTGTGGGAAAATTATGATCATAGTATGGTATTTCATCCTAATTAACCCTACAAATATAACAAAATTGCCTGTGGGCTAAATTTTGCCCTATCATGGAGAATTAACTACAATATTCTTGCCTTTAACTTTTATGGAGTAAAACTTAATATGTAATTTTGATAAATTAAAGATGTTGTAGCTACTCTTTAATTAACCAAAGAACATAATCACATTAGCAAGAAAGCCTAATAAACAAACAAATTAAACCAAAATATTATAGACAATCCTTAGGTATACTCCCAGGAAAGTTGGTCGAGGTGAAGCTCGGTTAAAAACCAACTCCTTAGACAGAGTAGTGTCGCAAGGGGACTAGTAGCAACAAGGCTTTTAAGCCAGGGCCATAGAACTAGTATTCCTCCCCAAGAAACTTCCCTATTCTTGTGTTCTCATTTTTGAAGTAAAATCGTTTGAGTGTAGTTGCACCTAACTTATGGATAAGGCTTTGAATAGGGTAAACTACGAATTGTTTATGTACTTTATGTGCTTTAGAAATTTTATAAGAGCACGAGTGGAGTAATAACTGAAAAGTAAGTAATAATATGCATAATCTAACCTGAAAGACACTAAGTCATGCATAGCATATAATTCAGACCTAAGGCTCTAAATTTTTCTTGATGAACATGCTTTTCTACCGGCATAATTATAACTGTCAAATAATTATTGAAATAAAGAGATAAATAGCATACTCAGATTATGCACATTACTCACAAATACTCCACAATTAGATTGCAACACTTAATACAATTTAAACTGAAAAACATTATTAAATTAAAATTGAACTGAAAAATTAAAACTGAATAATTTTTCGAAGTTGAATAATAATTTAATAATAGAGTTAATAATAATAATAATAAATTCAATTAGATAATTTAATTAGAAGAAATTCAAATATGATGAAGATATTAAACTGAATGAATTGATGTAGTCCAAATATCAATTCAGATCTGACCCAAATTCAAAACAGGCCCAATAAAAAAATTGTTTATTTATTTATAATAATGAGCCCAAGTCTGGCCCAATTGGGCTAGACCTGGCCCATTACCTTAAACATCTTCATTCATCATCTTCGTTAGTTACTCTCCAACAGCAGCGACGTAGATGTTCGCAATCAGCCGCGTCGCAGAGCAGTAGAAAGCCAAAAATTAATTATCTAATTTTAAATTTTTTTTGTTCTTTGTTTTTTGTTTTTTGTTTTTTGTTTTTTTTTTGTTTTGTTTTTTTTGTTTTTGTTTTTGTTTTTGTTTTTGTTTTTTTTTTTTTTTTTTTTTTTTTTTTTTTTTTTTTTTTTTGCGGAATAAATCAAATTTCCAGCAGCCCAGACAATATAATTACATGTAAATATTCAAATATGTATCTCAATTATACAATGTATACAACATATTCAAATATAATATAGATGTAATTAAACGAACTAGGCAGAGATTATAAAGGCAATTGATACCAACTGTTAGACTAAATATATATCACATGTATATAATATGTGATACAAGACCGACTAACCTCCCGCCAAAGTTCTTGAGGCGGTTGAACGATCTGTACTGCTTACTTTAGATAACACGAGTATTTTGTCTCTCACTTTACTCAGCTCTCTCTAGATGGTGTATGAGGTATGTAATGTGAGTAGTGAGAGGACTAGTAACCTTATATAACCACTGGCCATCATTGTGATTGCATGTCTTTAGGTCTCCTAAACCCTAACTAGACTCCTAATCATAATGGTAGTCTAGCTATTAGGTTATTAGTAAACCCTAACTAGACTCCTAATCATAATGGTAGTCTAACTATTAGGTTATTAGTGTTGCACCACATATTAAATACTGAATATTATCATAACTTATCCTAATATAATAATCTATATCTATACTATATATAAAAACAAAATCCTGAACTTTTAACTTTCCGCCCAATTCTTAAAAAATCTCTATTCCTAATAAAATATATTGATTTCTACTTTCCCATTCGTACAATAATTCTGGGTTAAAATTCTATTCCAACATTATAAAATAGTGTAATACAATTCCTATTGTAATCTATACAATATATAAAAACAAAATCCTTGAAATTTTAACTTCCCACCCAATTCCTAAAAAATCTCTGTTCCTAATAAAATATATTGATTTCTACTTTCCCATTCGTACAATAATTCTGGGTTAAAATTCTATTTTAATATTATAAAATAGTGTAATACAATTCCTATTGTAATCTATACTCTACTATATATAAAACCAAAATCCTTGAAATTTTAACTTCCCGTCCAATTCTTAAAAAATCTTTCTTCCTAAAAAATATATTGATTTCTACTTTCCCATTCGTACAATAATTCTGGGTAAAAATTCTATTATAATATTATAAAATAGTGTAATACAATTCCTATTGTAATCTATACTATATATAAAAACAAAATCCTGAACTTTTAACTTTCCGTCCAATTCCTAAAAAATCTCTATTCTAATAAAATATATTGATTTCTACTTTCCCATTCGTACAATAGTTCTGGTTAAAATTCTATTCTAATATTAAAAAATAGTGTAATACAATTCCTATTGTAATCTCTACTATATATAAAAACAAAATCCTTGAAATTTTAACTTCCCGCCCAATTTCAAAAAAATCTCTCTTCGTAATAAAATATATTGATTTCTACTTTCCAATTCGTACAATAATTCTGGGTTAAAATTCTATTATAATATTATTATAAAATAGTGTAATACAATTTCAATTGTAATCTATACTATATATAAACACAAAATCCTGAACTTTTAACTTCTCGTCCAATTCCTAAAAAATCTTTCTTCCTAATAAAATATATTGATTTCTACTTTCCCATTCGTACAATAATTTGGGTTAAAGTTCTCTTCTAATATTATAAAATAGTGTAATACAATTTCTATTGAAATCTATACTTCTATATCTATACTATATATAAAAACAAAATCCTTGAAATTTTAACTTCCCGCCCAATTCCTAAAAAATCTCTCTTCCTAATAAAATATATTGATTTCTACTTTATCATTCGTACAATAATTCTAAGTTAAAATTCTATTCTAATATTATAAAATAGTGTAATACAATTCCTATTGTAATATATACTATATATAAAAACAAAATCTTTGAAATTTTAACTTCCCGCCCAATTCCTAAAAAATCTCTCTTTCTAATAAAATATATTGATTTCTACTTTTCCAATCGTACAATAATTCAGGGTTAAAATTCTTTTAAAATATTATAAAATAGTGTAATACGATTCCTATTGAAATCTATACTATATGTAAAAACAAAATCCTTGAAATTTGAACTTTCCGCCCAATTCCTAAAAAATCTCTCTTCCTAATAAAATATATTCATTTCTACTTTTTCATTCGTACAATAATTTTGGGTTAAAATTCTATTATAATATTATAAAATAGTGTAATACAATTCCTATTGTAATCTATACTATATATAAAAATAAAATCTCTTGAAATTTTAACTTCTCGCCCAATTCCTAAAAAATCTTCTTCCTAATAAAATATATTGATTTCTACTTTCCCAATCGTACAATAATTCTGACCCACCAATTTCTAAAATAAATGCTTTATTAAATAGTTTCTAAGAAAAAACTATGAGACCCTTATGTTTTATTAATGAATTTTTAAAAATTTTAATTAAAAAATTGTCCCGTGCATTATTTAATAATATCTCTTTATAATTGGTCAAATTATTTAATTATGGTAAATTAGGGAATAATTAATAATGGTAATAGAAATTCTAGAAGAATATTGAAATGAAGAATATTTAATTATTGTTATATTATTATTGTGACTCACGGAATACAATACAAAAATATTTAATTATGGTTATATTATTATTGTGCCTCACGACCATTATATACTAACAGAACTTGAAAAGAAACTAATAATAATATAATAATAATATAAGTGGTAATAATAATATCTAAAAGTAATTAAGTGTTAATAATAATAGTAAGAATATTAACGTAAGAATTATAACATAGAATAAATCGTAATAATTAATAACTATAGTCTAGGATTAAATTTGGAATTGTCAGAAAAGATAAGCAACTTATGATGAAATTAACTCTTAAATAATTATATATCGATTTAAATATTCTTAATATATTACAACAATTTTCATTCCGTGCATCGCACGGGTGAAAATACTAGTAATAGTAACGAATAAGACGTTACACATTTCATAATTCTAACGCGACCCTCCCTGGCTGCTATATGAAATTAGGGGTGTAAGCGAGTCGAGCCGAGCTCGAGCTTGGGTAGGCTCAAGATCGAGCTCGTTAATGGAAGCTCGGCTCGAACTCGAGTTTAATCGAGCTCAAGAACTGATGCTAGCTCGGCTCGAGCAGCTCGATTGTTCTAGCTCGAGCTCGAACTTGATCTTGAACTTGAGTTCGAGCTTGATCTTGAGCTTTTTAATTGTTATTTTTATATATATTATAATTATATTATGTTATATTATATATTATACGGCTCGACGAGCCACGAGCCTATAAAATCTAGGCTCGGCTCAAGCTCGATTATCAAACGAGCTGTTCGAGCTCAGTTCGAGCTCAATTTTAACCGAACCGCTCATGAGTAGCTCATGAGTGGCTCGACTCATTTACACCCCTATATGAAATACAGTTGTCCAGTCATCATCGCCTCTGCCTGCGCGAATGTAAGCTGTAGAGCTTTTCGCGTTAAGTATAGTGTAAGTGGCTCCCCAATTGTGGATTCTTGCGGCGTAGTGTGGTGGCGTCCAACCAAAATCAACTTTCATCTCACACAAACGGATCTCCCTTTCCAACAGTAACACCATGCATGCATTCCGTATCTGAATTGAATAAACAACCATAGAATTATCAAATACCTTATCAATTACTATGTTTGATAAAGATTGTAGACATAAAATTTTGTTTAGAGTTGATGGGTTTTAATTTACCCAAGTCACCATAAAACTGGGCTAATAATGGTAATCGGTACAAAAATTTTATTGGATTAATAGCACCCAAAACCATCAATCGTTATACCCTGCACCACGGCGCACATAGCACTGTGCGTCCCGCGCCTCCCAAAATGACGTTGTTATGGTAAGTTATGTAGGGAATTAACGTGATTATGTGTATTTATTTATACAGTTATGTGTATTTGTTTATACAATTATGTACATTCATGTATACAATTATATATGTCTATTCTAGTATAAAATTATGTACATTTTTTAACATGAGATTTTTTTTTAAAAAGAAAATTAACCGCCAACACTGGGTAGCGAAATTTGAAAAAAAAAATCTGAAACGACGTCGTTTTGCATCAGGACGCACAATGCAATGCGCGCCCTGGTGTACGATATAAATTGCCCAAAACCATTGCTACAATTGTATTAAATAAATAGAGGAAATAAATTTGGCCCAAACAGCTCGACTAACGAGCCCAACCACAAGCTGGCGGAGCGTTATGCTGTGCAACCGTGTGCACTATGCATGGTGCACACGGAATTGGATCCATAATTTCTATACTATATATCCATAATTCTTATACTATATATCCATAATTCCTATACTATAGATTCATAATTTCTATACTGTAGATTCATAATTTCTATACTATAGATTCATAATTTCTAAACTGTATAGTTATCAAATTATGAACATATAGTTCAGTGATTTGTGAATACAGAGTTCAATAATTGGTAATATGAAAATTGAAAATTATGAACATAGAGTTTTGTAATTGTGAATATATAGTTCAAGAATTATGAATTTATATTATAAAAATTATGGATCTATAGTATAGAAATTATGGATTCAATTGCATGGTGCACACGGTTGCACAGCATAATTTGGCCAAGCTGGCGGATATTACAATTGCCCGACATTTAGAGGACAATTGACACATAAATTGCACCGTTACTAACGAAGAAGTCATCAAGAGGAGAAGAAGAGAGCTGGTGATGCTTTGAACTAAACTAAACCACCCCTGCGCGCCTTTTATACTACTTCTAGGGATGCATGTCGTGGACAAGTGCATGAGCCATAATGTGTGTCATGCCAGGTGCCAAGTTTTCCACCCAAACAAACCACGTTGCAAAGCACATTCGAAGTCCTCTCCAATCACCCGAAAACAGTGCAACTCGATACCCACTACCCAGAACCATCCACCTCATCATACGACTCAACCCCTTTCACTATCGACTGACCCCAAGTTTGGGCGCATTGCTGGGCGAGGAGCTAAAAGTCCTTGTGATCATGGACCAAGAGCACTCTGTTATGGTCTGATCTACCACTCACCAGTGGACTCAGAACTGGGGTTGGGGGTGCACCACGCTTCTCTTCACTATGTTTTTCTATATCCTAATCCATATCACTTTGTCAAACACGCCCTTAATCCCTTTCATGAAAGAAGTCCACCCCCACTTTCCTTAAGAGACTCCCCTCTACTGAAAAAGCTAATTAATCAAACGCTCGTATTGGTTGTAGACTTAATCAAAAGTTAATTAATTAAATGCTCAAAGTCTTAATAAGTTTTTAAACACCAGTAGACTTTTAAAGACTCTATAAAAGTCTGAATCAAATACCAGTATACTTTTAAAGACTTTTGAAAAGTCTGAATCGAATACCGGTAAACTTTTAATGAAATTGAATACCAACAAACTTTTAAAAGCTAACAGTTTATTTCTCCAAAACACTAAAATTCAAAAGCTTCTCAAAGCAGTTTTTTTTTAATTAAATTTTTGAGAAAGTCATTTTATATGTAATCAACTATCTGCTAACAGCTAATTTACTAAACATCTTTCTACCATCCGCTAATGTTATCAGCTAGTCAAATCTTAATAACTTTTAAGGAACATGATTTTTTTTAGTGAAAAGGTAATATTTGGTAATTTATATATAAAAATCATAAAAATTATTATATTTATACTAAAAATTGGCATATATTTGTGATTCATGTCATATTCGAAGCTATCCCATTATTATATACGGGAAAGTGCTAAGTGGTACAGTGTATTCAATCAAGACTTTTAAGGACTTTCAAAGACTTTTAATGACATTAAAAGTTTATTGCTATTCAATTTACACTTTCAAAGACTCTTTAAAAGTCTACCCATATTTAATTCAGAATTTTTAAAAGTCTTTAAATGTATCCTTACATTCTATTAAGACTTTTATAGAGTTTTTAAAAGTCTATTGGTATTCAAAAACTTCCATAGACTTTATTAGAATAGGATTTCTGAAGACTTTTTCTTCCTTAGTATCTAAAAACATAATAAGTGTGGATGAAGGTTATACTCTTAATTTATGTTCATTTTTATTTTTGTTAAATTTTATGATATATTATGCTATAAATGTTGTACTATACAATATTTTGGACAAACATACCCCTATCGTTATAACTTCCGTTATTTTTTCCACTATTGCTACCATGCACATGCATCCACCATATATTTTCTTATTTTCAATAATAATAATAATAATAATAATAATAATAATAATAATAATAATAATAATAATAATAATAATAATAATAATAATATACACATTATATATTGGGGTTATATGTATTTTTTTTTTTTTGGAAAAAGAGTTATATGTTAGTTATTTCTTAAAATATAAATATTAAATTTGTAGAAATGTTTTACATTATTATTATTATTATTATTATTATTATTATTATTATTATTTACAATAATTTAAATATCTAAAATCTAAATAAATTTAAAATTTTAATATAAAATATTAATATTGGACAGCTATTTTTGCGCATCAGAATACTAGTAAATAGATTAAAGCTAACCCTTCAACCCCAAACTTTTCAACTTTCTATACAAACTTTTTTCCGCTATTTAAACCACACAAATTTTTCATCGATTTTTTTTTAATCAAATTTTATGGTACGTTTCAAATATCTCATAGATATTTATATATATATTTTTTATTTTTATCTCTTTATTTTCATACATATTTATATAAAAAATTAATATTTGCGGTTGTTCAAGCAAAACTTTTTGCTGCGGACAGCACAACAGATTTTTGATGTTGTTTGCAATAGATTTTCCCTGTTGTTCGCAACAGATTTTTGCTGCAAACAGTAGAAATCTTCTATTTCGACCAGCAACAAGCTGCTGTTGGTGGCAACAAAATTAACATACCCAAATTTTTAACTTAATTTTTTTTTAGAGTTAATTCCATTTTTTGTCCTAGATTTATAAGTGGCAGTTCACTTTAATTTTTTTTTTTATTAGAACATCCATTTTTGGTCCTATTATTATTGTAACATGACTATTTTTGGCCCTTTATTAACAAAATAATTTAAATATCGTTAAATACAATGACATTTTGATCTTAAATTATGAATGTTTTCAATATATATATATATATATATATATATATATATATATATATATATATATATATATATATAGCGGTTCAACCTACTTTATATATTAAAAAAAAGATTGAAATGTCTTTGTATTTAACGATATTTCAACAATTTTGTTGATGTAGGACTAAAAACGGTCATGTCACAATAATACTAGGACCAAACGAGGATATTATAATAAAAAAAAATACTTATGGATTGTCACATATAAATCTAGGACAAAAAATATAATTAACTCAATTTTTTTATATAATTAACATAATTTTATGTAATTGGATGTTCATTATTTATTAATATATGCTTTTGCATTAATTTATTTATGATTTATAAAAATATATTTTTGTAAGAAAATTATAAATAATGTATTAATAGAAGTTATGGTGTTCGTAAATGTATATTCAGTTCAGAGTTTTAATAACTTTTGTAAACATTTTAATATGATTTTTTTTAAAATCTATAGTTATTTGTCCAACAATTTTTTTTTTTTATACTCGTAGAAAGTCGATAACATTTTAAAAAATTATGAGAAAGTCTAAAGAAAATTCTACAAAAATTATTTAAAATTCATCACTTCAAAATCTTTAAAAATCTGAATTGAATTCGGGCCTAAGTTTTCCCTACATCCATCACTTTATGTGGTAAGTATATTACCTGTTATTGGGAGAAGAAGTATATTACCTGTATTTAAGCACCCCAGGGCAGAGATACCTATAATCATAGTATAGAAAAACGCGTCACAAATATAATATAAAACTTTATACTTGTAAGAAAATAGGACGGGAATTTTCCAACTATGTAGTATTTATCGGGACAATTTATATCATGTACCAAAATTGACCTAACATTGTAGACCCTAAATCAAAACGATCATGTACAAAATTCATATATTGTAAGGTACAAAATTTCATAACACAAAACACATATATATGTTATATATTTACCAATTTTTCAAATATAATTTGGTTACAAAATTTGTATTTATAAGCATAGAATTTTAGAACATAAGAAATAAAAATTCATAAAATAAGACACAACTACTAATTCGTTTCAGATACAAAATTCATATCCTTAAAGAAAACCTCAATAGTGATGAGGTTTTTGAGGTGTTAGTTAGGAGGGATGAGCTAAAGAGGAGGAAAAAAAGAAAAAGAAAAAAAGGCCTGACGTGATTTTTATTTTTATTTTTTTTAAAAAAATAACACTGTTAGAGGGTGCACTGCACATGCTCGACTGGACGCTGCGTTGAATGACTTAAATTTTGGTGAGTCCCACAATCTGATAAAAACCAAGGTTCGTAGGAAAATACTACATGGGATATGCACTCCCATTTCTTACTTCCAATTTGTACTCCCTCTCACAAATTCTTGATGTAGACACATTCCCTGGACCTCCATGATGAAAATAGTCAATCTTTGTTTGCCATGTTATAGAGTACAAGTGATGGAATAAAATTTGGGAGTACATGTAATAAAAGGGGAGATTTTTTTTTTCTCTCTTCACCTTCTCTCTTCCACCTAAGTTTCCTTTCGCAAAAACCACACCAAAAACCTCAAAATAACTACTATTAGTGATACCCTAAGATACAAATTTCATAACACCTATATAAAAACTGACAATATAAAATACATACACATGTACCAGAGTTCACACCTGATCATATTATAGGGGTTGGTATTTACCTCCGGCCAACACTGCTGCGTGGAGTGCATTTCGACCCAATGGCCCACCATACGAAGGCTTTTCAAATCTTTCCAGCATCTCCGCCAAACATTCTCCATATGTCTTTAGTAATGGATCCTCTCCATTTGACTCTGCGGCTATGTAAATGGGCGTCTCTCCAGTATCATTGGGAGGGTACTCGAATTCGCCATCCTCTCGAACCAACAATTTCACCACCTCCACATGCCCCATCCGCACTGCCTTGTGCAATGCCGTGTCACCCACAATATCAACCATTCGTATCAACTCTCTCACTCCAACACCAGATTCTATGGCTTTCTTGGTGACATTATTTATGATTACAGAGACAATCTCGGCATGCCCTTTCTCCGCAGCACAATGTAAGACAGTCCTGTTCTTATGGTTCTTGGCAAGTAACATGGGATAGGTGTCTTCACGGTCTGCTAGGAGCCTTTCCACGAAGTGTTTTTGGCCGTGGAGAGCTGCGACATGAAGCACCGTGTTGCCGGTTGGGGTTACCTGCAGGCGCCCAACCCCGTCCGCCTCCATCTGCCGTAAAACCTCGTAATAATCATCGGGTTCACCACCGTCCCCCGACGGTTTGTACGACTCCATCCGCCGTAAAGCCTCATAATAATCGTCGGGTTTACCTTCCACCGCTGCTTTGTACAAATCCGGCAACATCCTATTAATGTGTTCCATTTGCGTATTTGACCACAATAATTGTACTTTGAGAATGGAGTAAGGAGAGGGAAGAAAGTGACGAAAAAGTGGAAAAAGAAATATTATGGGATAAAACGCATGTGCTACTATATCTTATAGTGCAGGCTGATGAAGTGCTGACTGGTCAAGACCAGAGTAATCTAGATTGAGAGTGAGAATATATGATGGATAATCTAGATTGAGAGTGAGAATTTAGGATGGAGTTAAGTTTAGGAGTCACAATATTAGAATTTTACCTAATGTAGTTTTTTTTGGGTGTCAAACACTGACTTTTTTTTATTTAAAACGGTCATTCAGTTATTGTGATTATTACTCTATAATTTTATCAGGTCTGAGTAAGAACTATCCTTTTAAAAGTAGGTTGAAGATGATATTATTTTGTCCCATAGGGTTAGCTCAGACTGATTATCTTAAAATCTTACTCCAATTATTGTATGAAGGTTCAAATCCTTGGGAACCTAAGGATCTTTGAAAAATTTAAATTGATAAGAGGTGATGAAAATTTTTAGTTGTATAGAGAGTATACATGTAAGGAGTAAGAATCTGAGAATTAATAGGCGACTCGCGATTTTTCTCCTCAATCAATTACTTAGATAGCATCTTAAAGGCTTATTAGTTTAAGTTACAAAATAATGTAAAAGAAAAACAGATATTATCTTCCAATTTTATTTTTTAAAGACCTGGCCGTGGACTGCTTTCACAATCATACTTTTCTTTATCCAGCTATGCAGGTTGTCGGCATTCCGCATTCGATAAACTTTTGTTATGTCAACAAAAAGGAAAACACTAAAGGAGCCGGGGAATAAAAAGGAAAACACTTTGGAAAAAAGATAAATCAACTCTAAAGAAGTAAAATTTTTATCATGTGTTTTAATTTTATTAGAGGAGAATGAAAAGAAAGTAATAAAAATTGTGGCTAATATTATTTTAAATGAATCAGATGATGACATCTAAGCAGGAAATAGAAAATTGAGTAAAATGTAAGAATAGACAAATTATTGCGTGTACCATGATTTACATTTCACATTGTGTGAACCATAACAAAAAATACATTTTTAATATACTAAAAGTATATTATTTATGTATTGAATGTACATTATTTGATAGTGTGGTCCATGCAACTGTGTGGACCATAATAATGGTAGGAATATGTGTAGTATTAATCAATCATTTTAGAGCCATGATATGTCCTAATATGACGTGGCAGACTCTTTCGAATAGATAAAATGGGAGGAAAAGAGAAGTGGTAATGTGAGAAGTATGATCCTGAATTATTGATATAAAAAGGATAAGAATGAACTCACCTCATTAATATTACAAAAATTAAATAAGACCATTACCATTAGTGGAGAAAGGAGATTAGGTCAAATATTTTAATTTAAAAAGTTACTCTCTCTATCTCATTTTATATGTTCCATTGATGAGATTTGAGTGAAATTATTTATAATTCAAAATTTAATAATATTATATTTATTATTTGTATATAAAAATTATATATTTAGAATTTACATTAAAAGTATTATTAAACACAAAATTTAAATTTAAAAATTATAATTATTGTTTAAAGAAAATAAGTCAAGAAGAAAGAGTCCGTCTAACAAATAAATAGTTTACCAGGACTATGTGGTCTAATGGTACCCGGGTTGGACTTCCATTTGGAAGGCTGTGAGGTTGAGAAAGTATATGAACAGATACTACAATGTAATAGAGCCAGTAACATTCAAAAAACAAATAAATAGTTTTTTTGTGTTTCGGGTCTCTCTCTGTCCGGTTAACGGTCCAGGTCCACCCGGTTCGCTCCGAGAGGCACAGAAGCTGGCCCAAAGGGAATCATCACTTGTGGGAATTAAACCCGGGTTATCCCAAAATTCTTCCACACAAAGAGAGCTCATTTGCCACTTAAACTACCATGTTGGGTTACAAATAAATTGTTTTAAACCATTGGATTTGCCCGAAAATTCTCAACTATGATTTCACCAACAACAGTTTTTTCCCTCCTAAAAAATTATAATAAAAAATTGTTATACTGTTATCTTTAAACGGATGTCTTTAATAACACATTCCTCAACAATATTTATTTTTTTTAAAATGACTATGGTGAAAATTAACAATACTTTCATCAATAACAAATTAAATTTTTTCATCATAATAAGATAATTATTTATCACTACTATTAACTAAGTGCTTTTTACTGGTAACACGAAGATCATCTACCTTTCTCTGCGGCACAATGTAACACACTTATGTTCTTTTGGTTCTTAGCAAGTATTCAAGTAACATATATAGGAAAGTCATCTTCACGCGGTAGAAGCTTTTTTCACGAAGTGCTTTTGGCCATGGAGAGTTTCCACGTGAAGCACTATATATGTTGCCCTTTGGGGTAATAACATGACGCCCATCCCCATACGCTACTATGTACCATAAAGCCTCAAAAGAGCATTTCCGTCCTAAGATTTTGAAGAGTTATTTTGCTTGGTTGGAGGAGATAAAGAATGAAAGGAGTTGATGGATATATTATACCCACGACCTGACCCGGGGTAGCAACACGGACCCGGAGCACCACGTTGGAGCCCAAAAGCAACATGGACCCGGAGCACCACGTTGGAGCCCAAAAGCACCCGGCCGACAGCACCTTGGAGGTGCCCCGACCCGAGCCGAGTGACGTGGGGCTCGGGTCGGGTGGCACGACCCTACCCGAGCTCGGGACCCGACCCGACCTGGTCCGCCCGGGTCCCCGGTCAAAGGGCGATCTAACCGCCCCCCTCTTTAGGGGGAGTGGTTGGGGGGTTTGTTGCATATAAAAATTCCCCACCTCACCTTGTTAGGACAACTACTTCCTATTCTACACACTTTGTCGTACTAAATCCTTGTAATAACCAATTCTACGGCATTTAATATAATATACGGTCTCACGGCCTTTGCGATATCGTTCTATATTATTCATTTATTATTTATATTACGTTCTTATCTGGATTTATTGATTCGGGTCCACCCCGAGTTAATTAAATCCATCATTGGTGCTCTTGTTGAGAGCTGCTGTACCAGCTCAAGCGTGTTCTATATCCAGTAGTCTACCGCGACCAGCTACTATGGCAAGATTGAGATCCAACTCGTGCCACACCAACGGTTCCCGCGGCACCCAGCTCGTCGCAACCGGGAACGGCCCCAACGGGGTCCACAGCCTTCAACCGGCCACCTCTGCCAGGTCGGGGGGAGACATGAGGGATCGCCTCACCAACCACCGCAGCAACGGCGCGCCACCTCCCGCAGCCCCCGTTCCGCCCCTAGCCCTTGTCCGCGAAGGGGTGGAGGTCTTTGAGCAGGCCTCCACGGTGTTAGCCCGGGTCGCGCGGGGCCTCCGAGCAAGTGTGCCTGCCGACCCAGGCGTCGACCAAGGGCTGTCGCCACCTCCTCCACCTCTTCCCACCCGGGGGCGCAGCGGTCCAAGCACCCAGCCACCCCAGGTCACCCAAGGGGAGGTCAATTCGCCCCGCCAGACGGACACACGGGGAGGAGGGGACTCACGACGTGACCGACGTCATGAGGACGATGGAAGGAGGTCAAACCAAACCAGGCCCGCCATGGAGAGGCTGGGCAGCCGAGTGCCAGCCCGAGAGAGGTTGGGCCCAAGGCCTGCCGCCAACGAGCCTCCACCAGCAGAATCATGCTCCCGCATGCAAGCACGACGACAATCGGTCACCCGGAGGTCGCCAAGCCACGGACCCCGAGCTTAGCCGCGACAAGAGGTGGGCTCGCAGAGGTCACCAGGAAGGGGGACCTGAGCCCCACCTCGGCGTGAACAGGCCTCCCGGGTCGAACGATCAGGTGAAACGAATGGTAGAGCCCCGAGCTCCCATCAGGAAGAGGTTGAGCAGGTGCGGAGGAGGATGGACGAGCTCCAGAAGAAGATCGACGAGAGGGACGGGTCTCCAGAGCCCCAGGACGTGTTTTCCTCCCCGTTCGCAAACACCATCATTGAGGAGCCCTTACCTCGAGATTTTTGCTTTCCCACCATTAAAGCGTACTCGGGGACCACGGACCTGCGGGCGCACCTCACCCGGTACCGGGCCGCCATGATGATCACCGGGGCGACCGACGCCATCCTATGCAGGGGGTTCTTCGCCACCCTGGATGGACAGGCGCATGACTGGTTCGGATCCCTCCCGGAGGGGTCCATCTCCACCTTTGCGAACCTCACACGGCAATTTCTGTCCCATTTCGCCACCAGCATGCAGTGAAAGAAGCAAATCGCCAGCCTGTGCAATCTGAAGCAGGGGAGCTCGAAGTCATTGGCTGAGTACCTTAGCAATCTGAAGCAAATCGCCAGCCTGTGCAATCTGAATCGCCAGCCCATGCTGAACCCCACACGCTATCTCACCCCGCTGACACAACCTGTGGGTACCATCTTGGTGCACGCGGAAGACCAGGGGATCGTGGATTTCCCGAAGGAGGAGTGCATGAAGATATCGTCGAGGGGGGATCCCAACAAGTATTGCAGGTTCCACCGGCAGAAAGGACACGATACAAACGAATGCATCCTCCTAAAGAGACAAATCGAGGAACTCATCCAAATGGGTTACCTCGGCCAATTTATTAAGAAGCCCGGCTAGGCGCAAGGCTAGAAGCAAGGCAATGTATGGAGGAAGGGGGGTGGCCAGGCGCCATCCACCTCGGCACCTCGTAAGAGGGACCACGATCACAGCTCCGATGAGGAGGAGAAGACGACAGAGGACTCCCAACCCCCGAAGAAGCGGGCCAATTACGTTATTTTTGGGGGGCCCGAGGGAGGGGACTCGCCAGCCGAGTGGAAGAGGTGGGCGAGAAGCTTGTACGTGGGGGAGGTCACACGAACGCCCCACGAGAAGAAACTTAAGAGGGAGCCATCACATTCACCGACGCCGACCTGCCAGACGGGCCCCTCCCCCACCGAGACGCCCTGGTGGTCAAGTTGGATATCAACAACGTGGTGGTGCACCGGGTGCTCGTAGACACGGGTAGCTCGATGAACGTCATGTACTATGACACTTTCACCCAGTTGGGACTCTCAAGAGGGCAGCTGGAGCAGGTACGG